TGAGGCAGCATAGCTGCCGAGTGATTGACAGCGCATCTGACCAATCAGAATTGACGATCGCCGACATCAGATTGTTTTGGCGGCCCGGCTAGTGGAGTGGAGTCGGCCTTTACTATGGGTCAGAACTACATAGGGAACTAAAGGCTGCGCCACCACCGAGGCGTTTTTGACGCTTGTCGTGTGAAAGCCCGAGAGCCTCACGGAACCAGCCAAAGAGCCGCATGCGGCTCACGAGTCGTAGGTTGGCCACCCCTGATGTAGAGTATATATTTTTACATTAGTATATATTTTTACATTTTCTCCTGGAGGTGTGATGAGAAATTTTTTCAATGAAAAAAGTGTGCCTTGGCTCAAAAAAGGTTGAAAAACACTACTTTATATAATCAATGTTACGTCACTAGAGGTGCAACGGTTCATCACTGATCCGTGATTCGTTCGGATCAACGTCTTCGGTTCGGTACAGACGTGATCCGCGGTTTGATTTATGAAAAAAAAGTTATGCGCATGTTGTTCAGTCCACTTTTTTCATTTAAATCCCCTGTATGGGAGCATTTTGGCTTCACTGTCAACTATACTGATGATTAAATAGTCGACAAAACTGTTGCACAAGAAAGACATGTATTAAAATACAACCTTCTCAACAACCGCTTATTGCCGCGGCATTTAACCCATTAAGGCCTGACCCACCTGGTAGAACAGACCTGTAAAAACCTATGGCCCGACTTCAAAACCACCTCCAAAACTTGAAGTTTTCCTGATATTCAACATCTACAGAATGATATCTCAGCCTCTATAACAGATAGAATAATAATAATAATAATAAATCGGTTTTATATAGCGCTTTTTTGGACACTCAAAGAAGCTTCACATGTGTCATTATTCATTCACTCCATACACGGTGGTGATAAACTACTACTGTAGCCACAGCTGCCCTGGGGCACACTGACAGAAACATAATTTCATAAGAATCTGAGAGCTGACACTTGTGGCTATCAATAAGAATGCAGTGTATTATTATAAACCTTCAGTAGAATACAACAAAAAAGATACAGCTTCCACACAGGAAAGGTAATAAAACAACCAATAATAATGTGAGACATTATTGGGCGGCACGGTGGCTGAGTGGATAGCACTCTCGCCTCTCAGCAAGAAGGTCCTGGGTTCGAATCCCGGTCGGACCAGGGCCTTTCTGAGTGGAGTTTGCCTGTTCTCCCCGTGTCTGCGTAGGTTTCCTCCGGGTACTCCGGTTTCCCCTACCACTAAAAATATGTCCAATAGTTCTGGCATGCGCTTCCTGTACTGGCGACCCCACTCCCATCTCTGTGTGGAGTGAGAGACAAATGCCCAAAATTAACAATTGTAAACCGCTTTGAGACTCAGATCTGCAGTGAAAAGGCGGTATATAAATAAAAACTTACTTACTTACTTACTTACATTACACGTTTAATAAGTCGCAAAGTGGCACTAACTATGTAAAAAAATATATTAATTAAAGCCGCAAGCGGCAATGAAAGGCCTCGCCACTCCCGCGACCGCCTCCCAGGCGCCAATCCCACAAGCGTCACGAGGCGTACTCGCCGACAAATTGGCAGCCCGATCGGACCAGGAATACGTACATAAAAGCTCATTAATAGGATAAAGTGCGCCCCTAGTGGTCAGGTCCAGGACATGCACACTCTACGTAGAGTAGTATTTTGCTCGTACTAGTGTAAAGATTTGATTGTGCAACTTTGGTGAGGATCGGAAAAATTTTGGTCAGAAGCCTTCCATAGGTGGCGCTGTAGAGTCATATTAGGTGTGTATTTTCACACCATTACGCTCAGGCCAGTACCAACTGCTAAGTCTGAGCCTGTGGTCAGGAGAGCATCAAACATGGTGAAATTCCCCACTACCTCACATAAAAACGATGACGAAATTCAAACTTTTTTGCGATGATTGTATAACTTCAATTCTTCCAGATTGGGAAATGACATGGTAGAAGTCTGTGCGATGAAAATCCAGGGACTAGTACAAAGCCAAAAACGCAACACCTTGAACTGCCTGTAGGTGGCGCTGTTGCACTCACAGTTGTGTGTTGCATATCGTTGTGTTCAAAGTCATAAGTTGTATTTGTGAATTCATTTCTAGCCTCAGCGGAAACATATTTCTCCCCAAAAATCTCATTCACATTTTGTGGCGCCCCCAGTGGTCAGGTGTGGGGCTTACAACATTTGCGTAATGTAATGTTTTGCTCGTCTTGGTCCAAAGAATACACTCAGCGATTTTCGGGCCGATCCGAGCACTAGTGCCCTATTACTTTCCGACAGGTGGCGCTGAGCCAAAGCAATTTCCAAATCTGTGACTTCCTGTTACTAACGTGGCAATAAAAATTATTCTGATATTGGGCGAAAGATTTTAGTGTCATTGCGTTCAGGCCATAACCTAATATTACTGATGTGAGTCTCAGCTCTGTAGGTCTGAGCTTGTGGCCCTCAGGGCTCAGTGAAAACACACAAAACGAAGGCCTTATTCGCCATGGCGAGAACGGTCATGATTTTCTTTTCTTCATGAACGGTCATGATCTTTTTATTGAAGATTGTATAACTTCCATCCGTCCAGATTGGGAAATGACATGGTAGAACTTTGTGTGATGAAAACCCGGGGACTGATTGGAATGAATAAATGAAAAGTCAAATTTGCAGCGAAACTTCAGGCCATCATGGCCGACTTCCTGTTGGTCCCAGAGTGAGGCCCAGAGAGAGTTTTATGCTCGTCTCATAGAGATCTATCACTGATCTGAATTTCGTGTACCTACTCCAAAATATGCATGCCTGGCTCCCATAGGCTTTGCAAATTTGACCTTTCCAGGGGGCGCTATCGAGTCGCCTTTTGTCGGACAATCTCGAAACATTCATTTTATCAAATGTTTCACCGAACCGGTCGTTTTAGACCCCCCATGTCTTCAGGGTCAGAAAATCAAATCGTTTCGGCGGAAAAAAAAAATGAAACCAGGGAAAAACAATAGGCCTCCCAAAAATCCGCTCTCAGCCCAAAAAGTCAAATGACGACTCAGGGGGCTCTTTCTTAAGTAAGAAAAATAAAAAACATGACTGTTGTGGTTTGTTTTGTTTTAGGTACCCGAGCTTTAATTCAGTGAGTTTTGGCCACGCTTTGTGATGAGACTTCGGGGAGACGTGGGAGAAACATGAGGGAGAGATGGGGGAGAGACGGGGGAGACATGGAGAGAGAGGGGCGAGACGGGCAAGACCCGCACGTGCAGGGATTGTCCCGATTGCGCGTGTATGATTCTGTCGTATGATTCTGTCCACGTCTATGGTCCGCGCGAGTCCGTGGTACATGACCACGTTACGCTGCACGTTTGCTGATCTGTGTCAAAGCGGCCACAGTTGCTCCCGGGGTCAGAGCGGAGGATGTTAATCCCGTTCGTCCACGTAATGCCCACAGTCACGGAATTCACGGATCTGCTGATAATTCTCATTTTTGGTTTATCTTGATGCATTTCATTGGTCCAGATAATTGATCAATGAAGAGAATAGGTAAAAAAAAGAAAAAAAGACTTATCCACTTTCCCGGCCTTAAAGGTAAAAGTGCGCAACAGCGCTCCCGGCTTGAAAGGTAGAAACATGGGAATGCTTTCCCGGCCTCAATGGGTTAAGCAGCTCCTTTATGCACGGTCAGATCGGGCTAAAGTCAACTATCCCGCGCATCCTCAGTTGCGCTCACGACTGACGCTTGGAAGTCCAGCGGAACCTATAATAGATCCATGAGCGGAACGGAGAGCTCTGTTACGGTGTTGTAGACACGCCCCCTCTACCAAAGTCACACAGCACAGGTACTGACACAGCAGCGGAGGAATGGAAGACAAAGGTCCAGGACTAATATCCCAGTCACAACTGATAATTCCAAAAATTAAATAAATGCAGTGAATGAGGCAGGACATAGACTGTATATATATAGGACTGGGCCCAGGATGGACCGCCTCCTTGTAATCTTTATTTATATACAACCTTTTCACTGCAGATCTGAGTCTCAAAGCGGTTTACAATTGTTAATTATGGGCATTTGTCTCTCACTCCACACAGAGATGGGAGCGGGGTTGCCAGTACAGGAGGCGCATGCCAGACATGTCTATTGGACATATTTTTAGTGGTAGGGGAAACCGGAGTACCCGGAGGAAACCTACGCAGACACGGGGAGAACATGCAAACTCCACTCAGCAAGGCCCTGGTCCGACCGGGATTCGAACCCAGGACCTTCTTGCTGAGAGGCGAGAGTGCTACCCACTCAGCCACCGTGCCGCCCATAATCCTCCTTGGGAGAATCAGGAAGGTGGTTTAATATATGAGGGTAAATACCCTCATAAAGTGCCTTCTTATGTTGCACTTTGTGTTGTTTTTCATTAATTATGTTAAAAAGACATAATTGGATGGATGGAATATGCCTTCCATCTATCCATCCATTTTCCTCCCCTTAATCCATTTCTAGGTCAGGGGGGTGGCAGTCAGAGCTGCACCCAGTACACAGAGCACCAGCCCCTCACTGATCCTCCTGCAGGTGTTGAGTCCACAGGAGCCTTAATTATTCAGTAGGGAAAATATGCCTTGTGCACTTTAATTTGATTTTATACATTTTAATGTATTAATAAAGTGTTTATAAAAAAAAGACAACACTTTTTTTTTGCTAATTCAAAAAAATTAACCGAACCGAGGGTTCTGAACCGAGGTACGATCCAAACCGTGATTTTTTTCAAACCGTTGCACCCTTATACGTCTCACATCGAAAGACATACGTGTCACATTGAGAGATGATATTATAGTCAAAACAACAGGTGCAAAGCAGAAGCCAGCGTCGGAACAAGATTATGTCTGCATTTGTCCACTGGTGAAACTGGTTATTGTGGTTATTGTTCTCTACTGTTCATACAACTCTGGATGTTTGAGCATTGCCTACAGACAAGATAGCTTGCCATATCACCAGGTGACAACCATGAGTACACAGACCTTGCCTCCTGATGACCAGCTTCCTCAGTGGAGATGTCTTCCTCAAGCTGCTGTATATGAGCAAAGTCACCGTCATCATCCCTGGTGAAAACAGACAATTTTGATATTCTGACAGTTCAGGAGTGACCGTAGCAGCCACATATTCACAAGAAATGAGAGAAAGCTACTTCTCATGGGAACTCCTGGTGACGCTGGACAGCGATGATGGGGATGGGGGACGCTTTCCGTGGGGCTTGAGAGGTGTCGAGGTAGAGTTGTCCTTCTCAAAGCTAGGTAATGATAGATGTGCAGTTATCGCCACAAAATTAAGCATATTTCTACAACAGCTGGGGATATATAACAAGCTAGCTTGATGAAAAACCACATTACAAGCCGCTGTACCACCGCAGGAACTTAAGAGTAGTTTTAAAAGGCAATCCCTGTCGGTGCGTGTGTCCACTGCAGGAACCTCCCCCACAGGGCCATTTACAGGAACTTTTACGGTGCCCAATGGAGTACCTCCTCCATGCTAGGTACTTTGTTGGGCCCTGAACAGCTTCTGGTGGAGCTTGAGGTTAACCCAGCGCTGATTGGCCAAAGCTAGTGCATTTTAAAATACAGCAGCATTAGCCTAGTAACATTAGCCAAGCAGACACCACTGGAAACAACAAACGACAGTAAGATGTACGATGAATGAATGGATGATGAGGTGCAGGCATTAATTCAGACGGAGTTTGAGGCATTGCGGCAAAATGTAAAGACTGTGGGAAAGTAAAGACAGGGAGAAATCCTGCCCTGAAGAAGGCCCTGCGTGGCCGAAATGCATTGGTCCCTTTCCTCATTAAAAGGACTTTTTATCAGACTTTTTATTTTATTTCACCCTGTCTTTACTTTCCCACAGTAAAGGGTATTTTTGTTTTGCTATGCTATTTCTCATCCTGAAGAGCACCTGATTTTAATTACGTCTTTGACTTTTGGACCCTGTAGCAGTCACTCCTCCTGTTTCTGATATCCTGAGACAAATCAGCTTCACCTTGAAGCACTGGGGATTCATCACACTCCAAAACAATGCCGTGAAAAGTTCTTAAAAAACTGAAGGACTATAAAAAAAGACCACAACAACCAGAGCAGTTACGGCCATAAAACAAACAAATGGGTTTGGCGTAATGAGTTTCAAAACTAATGACGTCGCCGAGGGATCCTCCTTTTACCAGGAACTCCTGCGGTGGAAACGCGGCTACAGTCTAGCTCCAAAAATATGTAGAATTACTACTACTACTACTACTACTACTACTACTACTACTACTGCCACCACTGAGTAAAATGATGCTTACCTGTCCAGTAGGAGAAAGGCAAGCTCCGTATCGGTTTTTACATCCATGCTTTGTTTTAGATTTCTCCACCGATCTAAAGCATCCCCAATATAAATCCGGCTCTTCAACATTATGCTCTTCTTTAGTCTTCGTTCTTCAGCTTTTAGGCGTCTTGCTTGTATTTTAGCGTTTGCCGCTAGCATGGGAATGGGTAGCTTTCCTTTCTCCGCCATGTTGGTTTTTGGTATGGTTATTGGAATGGGCGTGCACACACAGAAAGGAGCGTCCCTTATACCGCTCTCTCTCCTGATTGGATAAAAACTGTAGGATACAAGAAAAGTTTAGGCAAGATTTGAAGTTATTGTGTATTTTGACTGATTGCACCTCTGCTCTCTGTACGCATTATCTTTGATAATCCACGTATTAGTCTACAACAAATTAAGTATGTAAACACTTTGAATCGGCTGTATTGTAGCTGAGGTTTGGGTGTCGGTTGTTTGTCTGGTCTCGGCTCGTAGGGGACCCGGGTCCGTGTTAAACACAGCATCTGAGCTAAAACTACAATATATACATTTTACACACCTCCGTCAGTAGCTTCTACCGCTGCTCTCTCGGACCTAAAGTCAGTGCTGACTTAACTATATATTCTGGATTAAACACTCTTTTTGGTGCATAGCCTGGGCTACGCCAAGCCTAGCCTAGCCGCTAGTTTGCTCTCCCCATGGCTGCTGCTGCCTCTCCCTCTGTCCTTTACTTTTTAAAATCCCTCCACTGGCTTCATGTGGACTACAGAATAAAGTTTAAATTCTTCTTTTGGCATAAAAATCCATAAATGGCTTGGCTCCTCCTTATCTTCAAGACATAATGTCTTATCAACCAAGCCGAGCACTGCGCTCGCAAAACGCCAGACGTCTGGTGGTCCCTAAGATTTCAAAAGGCACTGTCGGTGGCAGATCAATTAGCTACCAAGCTCCTTTAGTGTGGAATCAGCTTCCCATCCTAGTTAAAGCTGCACTAACTGATTTTGAGAATTTTTCAATTGCTAGCAATGAGCTCCCTCTCTCTGCTCGCCCTCCCCACACCCACGGAGCTTTCTTACTTATTCTTTAAAAGGACGTATATCCCAATGCACTACATGGACATGGATAGCATTTTAGTAATGAATACGAAAATAAAGTCAGTTAGTGCAGCTTTAAGGAAGCAGACACAATCTCTACATTCAAGGCCAAGCTTAAAACACTCTTCTTCAATTTAGTATATGGTTAGGCTGTTTGTCCGGTCAGGTCTTGTCCGGTCTTGGAGTCTGCTTAACAGTCCACCTCAGTTTAGCATATGGTTAGGAAGGTAAGACTCAGGGAAGGCTAACAATCTTGGACTGTCAGTGAAGCTGCATAGGGAGTCAGTTTGCTGGGAGAAGTATGGTTACTTGAGCACCATCCTCGCTTTCTGCCTACCTCATCTGCCTGCATTACTAGGATTTTGACTGTAGTCTGTTCATTGCTATTCACCTATTGTCCCATTGTCTGTTTCATGAAGCGACGACGGGACCTCTGAACCGTTGAGGCTGAAGTGTTCAGACAATGCATACACGTGCGTAGATGGAGGCATGGACCACGTTCACTAAGTATCAGCTGCATGAGTTTTGTTAATCTGCCATAATTCCCTGTGTTTGGGATAACGCAAGGAGGAAGTGGTGGGGGGGTCTTTGATGCTAACGCTGGTACTTCCGGATTGGCAAACACGTTAGCAGCACTTAGTTACAGTCACAGTCCACAGACATTTAAAGGACAACTTACCCTCAAATCCATTTTTTGCTGATAAACAGTATAAATGAGTGTCCAATAGTGTTGTGTACATATCCTGGTCATAAATTTGTCACTTTGGTGCAAACTAGTTGAAAGTTCAACTTTACGCCTAAAACCGTCTGTGAGGCGCCATCTGCAGGCGGCCTCTATTACTGCATTTGAATTTTGAATCTGGCGCCAACATTGGCCGCAGCAGTGGCCGCTTTCCTCTGCAGTGGCTCGTTACGTCAGCAGCCCAACGCGCCCTGAGGTATGTAAACGGCCCAGTCTCATTCACCCCCCTGCCTGTCCCCTTTAGTCCTCCAGGCTACGCCCATTTAGAGGGAGATTTGAACAGGAAATGTGAGTGACGTAGGCCTCGAGGAGCGGGGGTGAGAACCACTTTAAAGAGTAGACGCTGAATTGGCAGCTGGGGCACAAGAAATGTGACCGGTCATCCTACACTCATCGCGTTGAGCACTGTGCTGCTTATTGCTGTCAATATAGGACTGTACAAAACAGGGCTCAGGGATTACTTTTTACAAATAAGATTGAACATTATTGTTGGTTGTACTTTGTGAATAGATTATTACTGAGCTGTATCTTTGTCACCAACAAAATCAGAAACAGAACATCTGAATATAAAATAACAAACAAGCTAACTCACAAGATGAAGGCGGAAGTGTACCGCCGAAACATGTCAGGTAATTAAGCAGTACTAGCTTTATTTACTTTTCTTGTCTTATTAGAAGAACCTCTAAATCCTTAAGCTAACTCACAATTTCAGCATCTTTGGTTCATTTTTACAATACGAGTTCTGTTGAAGAAATGTTCAAAAACAATTGAAAGAAAATAGGAGGTAGATAGGAAAAGAAGGAAATATGATAGGAAGCTGAACAATAGGAAGATGGAAAAATAAGTATTTCCCACAATCCTGGAACGAAAGTTAAATTCTAGACCTCTTTCATGAACTAGCACATGGCCGACAGTGGCATTCATATTCTCCTTTGTTTCGTAATAGTCAACTCTGTTACAAAGTTTAAATCTAAAAATGCATAATTTGTTTTCAGTATTATTCATTTTGATTCATAGTATTTATTTGTGATATTGTCTTTGTTTCTTTTTATTTTTTACTTTCCTTCAAATACTTCAAAGTCAGTTAATGGTAGTTTTTCCAGTTTAGTGCCCAAATTTGAATGTGATCGTTTTTCATAATACTTTTTGGTATTGAAATATTTCTTCAATAATAGAAATATTCCATTCCAGGAATACATATATTTTTGTGTTATCTCTAAGGCCAAGTAATTTTGGTTTTGATGAAATAAGTAGTTCTGCAATGAGAAACCTCCAAACATGGTACATCAGGCTAAAATGTCCAATTTTTTATTCAAAACCACAACTTTGACAACATTTTTCTCCTTATCGACAGGGATTCTGTTTGTGGAACTTTTTCTAAAGTTCCACATTAGCATGTTAATGCTAACATTTAGCATTAACATAAAGCAAGCATTTTTTAACTTGACTAAAAAGTCTAGTGATATAATGATAGAACCCTGTATATTTTATTGTTCCAGCTGCTCAGGTCCCTTTTAAACATCAAACTAGCAGCCCTAGTAAATATGTACACATGTGTTATCCTGATGTTCACTACTTTGCATTGTCCCGATCTCTGTGTGTGCGTGTGCGTGTGTGTGTGTCTTACTCAGAGTTCTGTGTCTCTTTTATGTCTCAGAGTCTTCCTGCAGTGTCACTTCTGCCATGTTCCACTGAGTTCGCTCTTGTTAGTTCTCCTCACCCGGTTAGCTTCTGTTAGCCTCTTGTGGGTAAACCTCCTGCTGCTGTTATTAGTCTCTGAAGTTCTCAGCGCTTTCTTGTTAGCTTTCTCCTGTTAGCTCCGGTTGCTTCCTTCGTGCTTGTGGTTCGTGAGAATCCTCTATTGTTTCTAGAACCCGCGTGCGTAAAACTCAAAACTCTGATCGTACCAAATTGGTGGAACTATACTTCCAGAGGCGCATGCGCATTGATTTGAGTCTAGAGGACAGTTGCGGCCATCTTGTAAGGCCGCATTGGTCGTTCGGGAAGGAGAAATGTGGCCGCCATCTTGGACCGGTCATCCTACAGCGCGATGCCGAGCACTGTGCGGCGTATTGCGGTCAAAATAGGCGGACTATTCAAAACAGGGCTCGGGGAATGGTCTAAATGCACGGAGAGACGTGACGTCATTTTCTGTAAAATTAGACCAGCCCCTTTACTTCCTGTTTGTGCTAGCGCTATAGCCTTGTGGTGTACATATATTATATACATTCAGCTGAGAGGCTTATCTGGTACTCGCATCCAAGTGTCAAGGTGCTTTCTGTATGAGGAATAGCTTTAGATATGACTACTAAGAAGGATATGGTCACTTTTCTAAAGAGGAGTGACAGCACAGCGAAAGAGCACTGCTGTGTTCCAAAATGCCCAGCATCCTCGAAGTTTAACTCCTGTTTGAGCTTTCACTCGTTTCCAAAGGACAGCCAGTTGCGGAAGAAGTGGGAGATCAACATCAAAAGAGATAAATTTATACTAAGTGATCGCAATCGTATCTGTAGCCGTCATTTTACAGCAGCAGATGTGATTGAAGCGTCACATCCTGGTGGACGCAGGCGGCTGCAGAAAGGGGCAATCCCCGTTCTGTTTGAGTGGAACAGCTATTCAATACCGGCCACCCGTCCTGGAGTTTGGAAGAAGAAAGTAAGACCCCTGTCTCCAAACATTGTAAAGGAGGATGAGTGCTCTATGGACCACTCTGAGCACGACTACTGTTCCTCGGCTCAGCCCGCAGCAGTGGATCTGGCTCTGGAGGAAACTGAAGTCCTGCGGCCTGAGAACGCGAGGCTTCAGAAACAAATGGAGGAGATGGCAATCAGCTGCAGATTAGGGTTAGAGCGGTTTGCATCCTCCGATGATGAAATCAGGCTGTACACAAGGTAAATTTGAATTTCACTGTATTTAAAATTGTATATAGTTGTACCTAATCAATTTAGACTAAATATTTTGATCCTTGCCTGAACAGAACCGTAAACCTATGGTAATTTACGACAATTATTAGTTATACTGTGTAATACTAATAATGTGCGCTTTGAAGACGGAATATGGAAATATTATTTGGCACTTCGTGAATCCAGGCACAGGCGCACGGTTTAATAGGCACAGTACTTCAAACTTTTCTATAATTATCTTTTATGTTCCTGCATCAGATTCTTCTGCATCCCGCATAGTTCTTGCATTGACACATGTAGCCTAAA